CTCATCCCGCCTGACACGCCCAACCGTCCGCAGCGAACTACACTATATGTGCTCCGCAGTGGGTTAATTGTACTAGTCTTCAGGAGTACACTATACCCCACAGGGATCAAGGCATGGATTTTGAATCACTCATCTCGGGCAATCATCAAAGGTACGTCTGCAAAGTCAACGCTAAGACTGAATGTGTCTCCTTCAACATGAGCGATGACGAGCAATGAACAAAAAAAACCCAACCACACGCCCCTTCTTGCCAAATTTGGATTTCACTGCAAATGAAGGCTTCGAAGTCACGGCATTTTCTAGACTTTGCGATGACGCGCTACTCAATCGATCAATCAACGGGCTGTAACGCGCTGTAACGCGCCGCAATTGCAACAGTGCTGCAAATTAGAAGAGAACTCAGCCGGAAAGGGGAAGCGATCAGCGCCGGTCGCCTGTGTTTCAGAGAGTCATGGGGGCAATTGCTGCCTTCTCACAGTCTGGTTCTCTCTCATTCCTCTGTACTCTCCCAGATTCCCCTAGTAGCCAGAGCAGCGTGTTTGTCTCGGGGGGAGGGGTCGGGGGGGGCGGGGACATTTTTTTGCTTTGCAGCTTTCAGTGGTTCGTGTCCTCACTCTGGTGAAGCCTGTGAACTCTTGCCTAACTGGAGCAGGCTCTAGGCACCATTATGAAACCTGTCAATTCTCGTAAGGCTATCTCGATGGCTCGACACGTCGATGGGAACTGGCAAAAAAGCAACCCCTCCCCCCTCCTGCCCCGCCAGAGCCGTTAGATACCAGACTGCGTGGTTAGAGCGCATACCCTCCCGTTCTCTCATACTCTCTCAATACACGAGCGGCCGGATGCGATCGATTCACATCTGCGGCTGCGTTCTCGTTTATAGAAGCGGAGCGCTGTTGCAATTATAACGTGTTGACGCGCGTTACAATGCGTTGCAGCGCGTCATCGCAAGTCTGAACGCTGAGCAAAAGAGAATTATTTCTTAGGAGATTTTTGCAAAATTCTCACCGTTCACGAAATTTCAGCGGATTTCTAGACGAAATAGCTTTACTGAAGAAAGGAGTTATTACAAAAGACACCCCCAAGCACACATACCGAAGATTAAGTGCTGAGCCACTTGGTGGCCCGGTCGACGAGGAGGGGTATGTTCACCCCACATCCAATAGAAAGCTTTAATACTCATCTCTGGATCTCTATATTTCAAGACCCATCACCATGGCAGAGCTGAACACAAGAGGGCTACGGCTCAGCAAGGATCGTGTTATTTATAGCGTACCGGAAGGGTGAGCTATCTTTCACTGTCTGCATGAGAATTACTGCTGTTATCGTCCCAATCAGTTGGGTCGGGTTCAAGAGGGTCTGGACTGGTTCCATCTGCGGCGTCTCCATCATTGGTTATTTTCATCCTAAATCGATCACTAGCCGATCCCCCTTGGTAGATGAAGACAGCCGTAGGTGGGCACATCCCGTCCCCCCCCCTCACACCGCCTCGGACTGATTGCAATGTCACAAACTATACGTACATGACAACAAAGGTGAAAAACCTAGAGTAGGCGACTCTTTCCGATTTCTTCTTCAGAATATGCGTCGAATGCATCAAGAGTGAGTGAGAACTAAACAGGGTATTAAGAGAGAGGTTAGGCTGTTGTATACTTTGCTGCAGCGTCCATTGGCGACCAATAGAGTCCACCAGGGTCAGCGATGAAGCGAAGGGTATAGATATCGATCTGGCGTCTTGCCTAAGCGTTTGCTAGCGACCCCCAGCGTGCACCAGCGTCCGCCAGCGTCTACCAGCGCTCGGGAGGGGAGAATACGACGCGATAGGAGGATAACAGACAGCTGGTAGAGTATGGGGAGATGGGAGGGTGGTAAACTACTGGAAGAGAGTTCGGCGCGATAGAAGAATACCACCGTCTGCTACCCTCCTATCGCGCCATACTCTCATCTCCCGGATCGCTGTGTTAGACAGCTTAGATCATTATTTTTACATTGCTTTGGTGGCTGAAGCGCTGCCCCCAGCTGGGCACCCGGAACGCTGACGTGGACGCCGCCACGAAGTATGAACGCAGCCTCAGAGACAAAAGGTGCAACAGCTTTTGAAGGAGCATACTGTAAGTATTACCCTGAAACAACTTGTAAAAAAGGAAACATTAGCATTAGTGACGGAGAGCGGGGAGAATCACCATTCAGACCGAACTGGAAAAAGGCTCCGATATAAACGCCAACTCATGTTCCCAGCGCTTTATGATAAAAAGCAGGTAGCGAATTTGGTTGAAAGTGACCATTCCGTGATTCAGAACTCTGGAAGCAATTAACAAAATCAATAACCCCACACCACGACTAAGCGACTCATCAAGCAGACGACATAGCAGCGGTCCAAGATCATCGTCCACCCCATCTCAACCTAGTTCAATTGGTCAAATGACAAATGGTAGTGGGACGTCTATTCAGGCGTGCATTGTAAGCAGATCGTTTCAACTCCCGCTGAATTCCGCTTTCTGAAGGCTACTTATGGTTTAGGACCCAGGCTCAAATTCAAAAGAGTTTTATGTAGGAAATCCTGGCGAGAATGCCAGGTTGAAGATAAGCCATCTCAAAGATGGCTACAGGTACGAAAAGTGAAATGCTCTTGCCTGATCATGAGATCCTAGAAGAATGAAACTTTCCAGCTACAAATTAAGTATAATGGACGACGTCTGCCTATTGCAAAAGACTAGTAAGGTAAGCTGGCTTGATAGGTTCAGAAAAAACGACAGTGCAAAAAATTAGGGGGAAAGGATACAGCAACTTTTATTGTCGGCATGCTGTGCGTCTTTAGAATTAATGTGACAATTTGATGGTCATGAACGGATGTAGTTCTGGACCCAGGCTCGTCCTAACATGCGACTTCCGTTTGCCCTTCCAGTTCTGACGGCATCTCCCACGCAAGCTAACAAGTCTTAGACCCTCAGGGTCGCTAGCCTAACCACCTAGAACTGCGTCGCGGGATGGTAAAAACATTGACACGTACATATATGGGCTGGCCCTCGTAAGGCATTGTATACACCACTCTCGGCTGGCCCCGAATTGATGAAGGAAGCAAGCTCCTTCATCAATTCGGGGCCAGCCTGGACTTAGAAAGGAATGCGGCTAACACGACCGAGGCTTTGACCTTTTTTTGTGTGTAGTTGCAGGAGAAGAGGGCGGTTTGTCAGGGTCGCAGAGTGTGGACAATACTTGCTTGGCGCCAAGTTTCTGGGGCCAAGTAGGTATTTGTGGCTAGCGATAAAGGATAAAACGGCTCCGGGGACAGTTTTCTCATAGAATCTGCCGTTAGCCAAATCAGTCGAAAATCGGAGCCATGGGATGCCGCGTCACCTATTCCACGCTTACTCCCAATGACCTGGAGGAGGCTACCCAATGAACAAGTCAGTGTTCTTATCCTCCCAGACGAATCCGCCACCAATTTACCATCCCGAAGAGTGCAAACGCCTTGGCTTGGACCTGGTACCGGCCGACGCGGGACTCGAATCGCGAGACCGCGGCGGGATGGTAAGCGCATCACCTTGTCATAAAGCCGCCTCCCGTCCAAGCACAGCTCTATCAGTTAACTTGCTTGTGCTGGCGACAGGAAACATCGGTCAGTCTAAGAAAACTGTTAAATCCTCTGGGAACCACAAAAATAACCCCTAGCCAGGCCCAGCTCCGCGCACAGTTGTAACGTGATCAGGGAATAAAACGCTCAATGTGTAGTAGAGTTCCCATTTGATTTTTGCATTTCAGAACACAATGCTACTATGTTGGAAAAGCCGTTAAATGATACAAATTGCAGTGATCCAATTAATAAACCCTTTCATGAACTCGCACATTTCATATGATTGCATACTTTTGCAAATGCTCTTGGATGAACAGTTCTCACTCTGTCTTTCCGTAGTTCTCAGTCTCGTCTCCTAGATGGAGATGCACTAAAACCCATTAGTACAGATTCCAATGTGTGGCGTTGAGGTACCCCACATATCTCGCAGTTGGAGGAGGGGTGACGGTTAGTTGTGAGAGGGGCAGCGGCCGCGTATCTGTGGATAGTTGTCGATCCAGATACACTCCTTATCCCTGAGCCAGAGTAGGCGTGGCATTTGAACATGGCACGGAACTGGTTACTCGTGGAATATTCCAGTCTGGGACAACTGTCATCTTGTTCTCTGTTGGACAGAGACACGACAACAATTGTGTCAAGATGAAAATATCTCACCAGAAGCATAGACACCTTCAGGTTAAGTTGAAACATGCGGCCACGCCTACCCGATCTCAGGGATTTCGAGTATATTAAGGAAGGATGTGTCCACTTTCTCTGTGCCGTCCACGCTCTCTTATGCGCGTGCTATCTGTGTCTCTGTTTGCCCGACAACGGTTTATCGCCCCTATCTCACAGCTAAATCTTGAGCACCCTTCCCACCTGCGGAAAACGAACAGTGCATATAGTAGGTACAGTATTACAGGACAATTAAAATATACCATTTTCACTTTAGATTCAGATTCACCACTTTTCAAACCAAATTCACCCTTTTCAAACCAAATTCACCCCTTTTCAAACCAAATTCACCCCTTTTCAAACCAAATTCACCACTTTTCAAACCAAATTCACCACTTTTCAAATCAAATTAACCACACTTATTAGGCCGGGCAACTCATCAACCAGATCACGCCAGACACCACTGCGAGCCCCGCCCCGACGGCCACGCCTACTTGTCAGCGCGAGATTTCAAATCTTGTTTCATAACTTCTGCTTATGTGACTTTTCTTATCTTTTGCTGTTTCCCACAAACACTTTGACTGAAAACGACTGGGCATTGACACATGGCCGACTCCGCCCATTCTTTAAAGGGTTGGCAATCTAGGCTCTCCCCCCTTGACCACGCCCACTTGCTTTTTGCGAAATTTTGATATTTTTCAAAATTTTGCATTTTCGGACTGCTATGTGAAGCCCCGCCCACTGTGAGAGGCTCCGCCCACTTCGAAGAAGCCCCGCCCACTTTTCAAAAATGGTGCAAATCGGCAGTATAGAGTCTCGGCTGGCATGCTAGGGTATTGCTGATCATTCGGAACAAACTTTGCCTGATTTTCTTGTTCCGAGTGACGAACGAGACCCTAGCATGAAAGCCAAGGCTCTATACTGCCGATTTGCACCATTTTTGAAAAGTGGGCGGGCTTCTTCGAAGTGGGCGGAGCCTCTCACAGGGCGGGGCTTCACGTAGCAGTCCGAAAATGCAAAAATTTTGAAAAAATATCAAAATTCCGCGAAAAGCAAGTGGGCGTGGTCAAGGGGGCGGAGCCTAGATTGCCAAACCCTTAGAGAATTGGCGGAGTCGGCCATGTGTCGATGTCCAGTCGTTTTCAGTCGTGTTGTGGGAAACAGCACAAGATAAGAAAAGTCCCATAAGCAGAAGTTATGAAACAAGATTTGAAAATCTATGTCCGCGCTGACAAGTAGGCGTGGCCGTCGGGGCGGGGCTCGCAGTAGTGTCTGGCGTGATCTGGTTGATGAATTGCGCGGCC